TCTAATATTGCCAGAATCTGAGTCTGCCTCACTTAATCAAGTTTAGTGGGTATTGATTTACACAGTCAGGGAAACCAGCCAGATTTAAGAATCAGGTGAAGTTAACTGTAACAGTAAAAATGTTAGCAAACTATAATTTAAATAGTCTTTAGCTATAAATTCTATAAAGTTCCTACACATTTGCCCTTGGTATAGTTTTTTTAAAACAGTTAATTTAAAATATTTCCTTACAAGTTTCTACAAGTAAACAGAATTTCAATCGTTTTTTTCCCCATGTTGTTCACCTGTCATTTAAACATTGTCTGGGTGTTGCTGGAGATCTTTGCATGGGTATCTTACCTCCCTGACAAGATTATTATCTCCCTTAGTGCAGAAGCCGATTGGGTTTTGGGGGTTTGTGTCGTATCCTTCACCAGCACAGCACGGTGCCTTGCAAATCAGAAGCATTTAATACTTATTTGTCTATTAAGCAGATCATTTCTTAAAGAAACTTGATTAATACTCTAAAACAGAGGCATCATTGCCATATGCAATATTCCCAAGGGCAGCCTGAAACAGATTAAAATACAATTGAGAATGTCTAACCAAGTAAATCAAAACACAATAGAATATAAATGATGTTGCTATGTGGTTTTCTACATCACTATGTAGCTGGCAGGGATTCTAAGGGTGGTCTAGGGGCACCATTTCTATTGGAGTTTGACACCAGTGATCGACAAGAGTGTCAATCAATCATCTGACATTCATGGGACCTTCAGGGCTTCTCAGGCTCCAGACGGTCTGACATGAGCCCCACAAGAGCCCTGTGGAGCAGAGACCCAGAGATGATTTTGTCCAGAGGAGGAAACATGTTCAGAGAGATTAAATAACTTCTCCACCATCACGGAGTGGGTACAGGTCAGAGGTAAATTCCCAACCCATGTCTTCTGGACTCCAGATCCACAACTCTTTTCCTACACTGCCTCCTCTTTCAGTGACACCAAAAATTTCAAAGGCATGGCTTTCAACTTTTTTTTCTATGAATGGGGTGACTGTGAAACTGGATTTAAGATGTGCCAGTGACATCATGTTTGCTCAAATTCTGATGATCAACATCCAGCTTAGTCAACACTTATGTACACTGACTCAAGCAACCATTCTCTTGTATTTCTTACGGGCTTCACACCGATGCCAAAGGGATTTTCCTCAACTGTTCAGTCTGATCATGTCATCCTCCTTCCTATTCAATAAACTCCAAAGGTTCCTTTCTTGCCTCTAGATTCATTTTATGTAAATGTGTTCTCTCCTATTAGAATGCATGCTTCTGAAGGGTTGGTGCCACCTCCCACATATAGGGAGAGATATGACTCTGGATTGGTGGAGACCGATACGGGGCAGACCTGTGTCAGGGACTTAATAAGTCTGTGGAGAACCACCTGGACAGAGGGCATTCCAGGGATGGGAAACAGAAAGAAGAATCTGGCTTTTCAGCATGTCTCTGATTCCCAGTTTGCTTCCATATAGACATAGGAGGTAACTTTGCCTTGGGTGAGATCAGACCGTCTCTCCTGGTTTGAGTTCAGATCTTATCCGTTAAATAACTCATTTACTATTGTGTAGTATGTGGTGCACAAATATTTATATGTACAAGTATAGATACAGACATGTCAGTATAACTTCTCTGACTTCTATTGCTTGGATAAATGATTTCACTCCATATTCACCATTTGTGATGGTCTTTTGTGTAACCAGCAATTGAAGAGAAAGAACCAAGGTGAGTTTAAGATACAGGCTACCCCACCATTTAAGAGCGACCAGGCATTGCGCTCTTTGGCCTAAACTTTGGGCCCCAGAATAGATGTTTGAGTCGTGGCAACTGGAGATAATGATAATCCATGAATTTTTTTCAGAGAGGAGAGAAAAGAAGACTCAACCTTTGAAGTACTCCTGGGGCCTGCCTGCCTCTTCACCCGGCTATTTCTTCTGAATGTTCCCATTTAACAGATTAATTACAGCACTTCAGGGATCATCTTATCCCACATTCAGGAGATTCTGTGATCACATGCTTACCCAATATCCTGGCACAAAAGCCCTCACTCCTTAATAAAAGGATTTGTTCTGTAAAACTTGGACTCTGTCAAAAATCCCCTTAGGGATTTGTTCTGTGAATTTTGGATTCACTCAAAGGGCCATACTTGAAGACCTAGACGGCCCCATGTGGCCTCCAGGCTGCAGGTTGCCCTCCTCTGGTCTAGAGTACGTCAGTTGTTTTTTTTCTGTCAGCACCAATCATTTAGATCTCACGTAAATGAGGAAGGAGAAGGGGATGGGGGAGAAGGAGAAGAAGAAGATGATGATTTTGATTACATTAAACTGAAAAGGTTTTGCACAAACAAAGCCAATGCATCCAAGATTAGGAGGGAAGCAGAAAACTGGGAAAGAATTTTTACAGCCAGTGTCTCTGATAAAGGCCTCATTTCTTTTTTTTCTTTCTTTCTACATTTTATTATTTCAAACCAGGTGAACAATTTGATAAAACGTGAAAAAAGCAAGGAGGAATCTGATGCTGTTGACTCTGGGGCCTGGGGAAGGGTTCAGGGGGGTGGGAATGAGGGATGAAGATGAGAGCCCTCGTGGCAGTGGCCTTTCCTATCATTAGAGGTAAGGAGCTACAGTTAATAGAACTGACAAGAGAGCTGCCAAAGGGGGACGAAGGCACAGGGCTGGTGGGAGGGGGAGATGAGGAGAAGCCCCTGTGATGTTGGCAGTTGACTCAAGAATTAGCCCTTTGGAAATCTTTGTTGGGGGGCTAGGGATGGAGTTGTAATGGAGAATTCTTGGGGGAAATTGGAATGAAGAAGAAAAGGAAGAGGGGGGAAGGAAATGAGGCTTTGGGTGGCTGGAGAAGCTGCTGTCCCATCATCGGTGGTATGGAACACAGGCGAAGCCCCCTCCCCCAACAGCCCCCAGGACTAGAACAGGCAATGAGATGGACAGATGTAAATAGACAGACAGCCAAGGCTCAGGCTCCCCTGGAGGAGGTGATCCAGCCAGATTCGGATGACTCAGCCATTTAGTGCAGGACAGTTTTAAATAATCTTTTCTAAAACGGTCCCTAAAGTTTTGTTCTATGTTTTTAAAAAACACACACACAAAAGGCCCAAGAAAAACAGAGAGGAGCTTTGGGACTTCTGGGCTAAGGAATGCTGTCATCTGAGTCACCATCCTACTCACAGTGGCTTTGTGCTTTGTCCTGGAAGAGCTCCCTGCGGCCCTGAGGGGGCTGAGCCAGCCTGGGAGGGAACCAGCACAGCTGTTGAGGGGCTTCCTGAGAATGCAGGGTTCAGGGGGCTGTAAACATGGACCAGGGGCTGGGCTGGGGGGTGATGTCCTGGCAAGGCAGAAATGCTAACAGTATTGGCCAGAGAAGTACAGAATTTCCTTTACCACAAACCCAAGTTTCAGAAAGACCAACACCCCTTTCCCCCCAACACAGAATAAAATAGAAGAGGAACTAGGAGGCAGCCCAGGGTGGAGCTGATGAAGGGACTGCTGCAGTAGGAGGGCTGGGGAGGTGGCAAAGGCCTCATTTCTAAAATATATAGAGAAATGAGTCAAATTTATAAGAATACAAGTCATTCCCCAATTGATAATTGGTCAAAGGATATGAACAGGCAGTTTTCGGAGGAAGAAACTAAAGTTATTTATAGTCATGTGAAAAAATGTTCTAAATCACTATTGATTAGAGAAATGTAAATCAAAATGACTCTGAGGTACCACATCACACCTACTGGAGTGGCTAACATGACAAAACAGGACAATGATAAATGTTGGAAAAGATGTGGGAAAATTGGAACACTAACGCATTGTTGGTGGAGTTGTGAAATGATCCAACCATTTTGGAGAGCGATTTAGAACTATGCCCAAAAGGCTATAAAATTGTGCTTACCCTTTGCCCCAGCAATACCACTTCTAGGTCTATATCCCAAAGAGATCATAAAAACAGGAAAAGTACCCACATGTACAAAAATATTTACAGCAGCTCTTTTTCTGGTGGCAAAGAATTGGAAATTGAGAGGATGCCTATCAATTGGGGAATGGCTGAGCAAGTTTGAACAAGGGTAATGGAATAATATTATGCTATGAGAAATGATGAGGAGGTAGACTTCAGAAAAACCTGGAAAGACTTACATGAACTGATGCAGAAGGAAATGAGCAGAACCGGGAGAACATTATACATGATAACAGTCACATTGTGCAGATGACTGACTTTGATAGACTTGGCTCTTCACAGCAATGCAAGCATCTAAGACAACTCCAAAAGACTCATGATGGAAATTGCTATCCACACCCAGAGAAAGAACTATAGAGTCTGAATGCAGATGGAAGCAGACTATTTGTTCTCCTTTTCCTTTGTTTTATTTTGTTTTATTGCTTCATTCTTGTAATTCCACCCATTAGTTCTAATTGTTCTTTACATCTAATGGGAAAACATATTTAATATGAATGCATAAGTAGAGCCTATATCAGATTGCATGCCATGGGGGGGTGGGAGTGGGAGGGGGAGAAAATTTTAAATTCAAAATCTTATGGAAGTGAATAGTGAAAACTAAAAAATAATTAATTAATTATCAAGAAAAAAATTTAAAAAATAAAGAAGTGCATAGAGCCCATTTACCACCTCCTGCCTCAATCCTTTGTTCCAAATTCCTGCCTTTCTCATGCATATATATGTAGTCAGATTCTCATACATAGAGATAATGGATAAGAAAAGAATTTAGAAAGAAGCTCATAAGGAAATATAATTCATACATAACTCAAGCATAAAATACAATTATGTAAATAAATGTCAGGTGGTATGCAGGATTGTGCTAAAGAAAAAGGGAGTGGGGAGAAAGAATAAAAACAGGGAAGAAAAACTATCCTTATTTCTGCTTCAAATATTGAAAAAATATCTTGCATTAACTCATGTTCCAGTACTCCCAAAAGAGACCATTCTGTCCTGAGAGGATGTGACGAACCTGTCAAAACCACTCTTTCGCTAACGTGTTGAATTTGTAGCGCCATTTCCTCGCTCAGGGAAACCCAGTTCTGGAGGGTGTAAGTGACTTCATTTTTAATGCTCGCGAGTTCCTTCTTAGAAAACTTGAGTAGCATCAGTGTCTTCCTGTGTGTCATGTGGTGCTGCTCCAGCTTCTTACTGTAAGGAAAGAAAATGAGATCAGTAGCAAGTTTTCAAATTTGGAAACTGACAATGACTGATTCTGTTAGAAAAATAATTTAATAATTTAATAAGCTAGTTTCTCTTTTATTATACTACTATTTGAAATCTAAGATGAAACAGTTTAATGATCTCAATAGACAATTGGTTATCTTCATTTGCAATTTCCTCAACAACAAAAGTTCTTTTTTTCCTCTGTATTCTGGACGCTCAAAAATACTCAAAATTTTTAAGATGGTTTAGAACACAAGTTTGTAGTTAAAAACAAAATTGAATCCACACATTCTGTGGCTGTGCCTACACAAGAATGGCAAATACGTTGGCAGGGAAAAATATGAAGAAAAGTAGACTGGTACAGGTGGGAGTCAGCAGCAACCTCTACTGTTTATTACTAGCCCACCTTGGGGCAAGTCATTTCCCTTTCTGGACATCCAATCTTTAAAATTAAGGGGATGGACTAGACAATCTTTAGGAGTCTATGAAACTTATAAGAAACCTTTGTATGTGGATATAGCTGGCACATAATGTGATAATCAATTCCACCCTTAGGGTAAAATTTGTTTCAGACTTTCTATGATTCATTTTCCAGTAAAAAGTCTATTGAGCTCAACTTAACACATGGTCTTCCAGGTATTCTCTGATTTCCTTCAGATCAACAAGCTAGAGGAATAAAATATGATCTCGGGCCAAACAATTCAAGAGCTTCAAAGTGTTTGTTTTATGTATCTTTGTCTTTCCATATTCCTCTACAGTCTTCATAGTCACAATATTTTATGATGCAAGAATATCTCTCTGACATTAACCTACTACAACTTTGACAGCCATTCCCCAATAACTAGACAGATTATTACAGTTTTGTGCTATTACAAACTTTCTAAATAGACAGCTGTGCCACCTACAAGTAAAAATATTTTAAAATCTCTGTTATCGATGCTTCCTTCTTTACTTTCATATTGTTATACCTAACTGTTTTTAATCTATTTCACTACTTTGAAAGAGCCATGCTCCCTCCAGTGAAGAAAGCAGGCTGCGACCTCTCTCCAGGTTCATTAGTTGCTATGAACAACACTAAATTCATTACTGGGTTGTGAGCCTTTTGATAAGGGCATACTTTTCCCTAGGTGGAGTCTGTCCTCAGGAGTAGAGAAACGATCAGTTGTCAGGCCTGTATGAAAAGATGTCCTAGCCTGGTGAGATCTACCAGAACTTGGACTGCAGTTATAGACTTTTGAGAGTTCAGGATCACCTCCATTCCACAAAGAAGCATCAAACAGGACCTCTGACTCAGTTTCTAAAACTGAATCAAATAGATATGTTAACAGTGAGCGGACAATCTGACTTTTCAGTCATTCTTAGTGAGAATGCCTCCAAGCTTCTCCGTTCCAATAATTCTACATCACTGAAGTATGAAAAAAAAAGTTGTCTGAAATCCCATGAAAATTTTTACCATAGCAAAGAAAAATCTTTCCATTCCTATACTTTTTAATGTTTGGGTTTTTTTTTAACCACAAATGTTATTTTTTTGCATTGGGACTTAAGCATTATTAGCTTTAGGATTTAGCATTAAAACTTTTCTGTACCTATTGACATGACCACATAAATTGTATGATCTTTCTTGTTGATATGATTCACTATATAGTTTTTACCAATTATAAATTAATTCAGGTTTAGCAAAACATATTATATTTAAAATGTAGAGAGAGATACCTCTGAGAGGATCAGAGAGCTCTCAGTCAATCACATCTGTATGGGAATTGTCAGAGCAGGAAGGGGAGGCAGCCCTCCAGGTGGAGCCAGACGTGGACTCAGAGCTGAAGGGATCTGGGTCTAAATCCCACCTTTGGCCCAAACCACCCATGGGGCCCTGAGGCCACTCCCTCAAAGCAGCAGAGCAAGTGCAGACTCGGCGCCCAGAGTTGTCCCATCCCCCTGCGGAGCATCCACAAGGCTGTGCCTCCTGTCCCCAGCCAGCCTGCCTCTCAGGCAGCAGCCCAGCAGCTTGGTCTGCGGCCAGGATCCATGGGGAAGCCTTCCCATTCGGTAGGAACTGTCGGAGTGCTCACTCCATTCGCACAGCCCTGAGGACCTTGGGTCTCTCCACAACACAATGAGGCATCAGAGGAAAGTTTCTGGGACTGAGGACAGATCTTTTCCTGCTCATTTCCACCTCTGGCCTCCCCTGGTTCCTAGCCTCAGTGTCCGTTCCATAAGATTATTTCCCATTCACCCTGCCTAAATCCTGTTTGTGCTTCAACTGTTGACACAGGGCCTCAAGAGCAGGGGTTGTTTTCTTGCTCAGTGACTGGCACATACTAGGTGCTTAATCAATGCTCACTGACTGATGACTGACTGATTAGATCATCTGGGAGGATGTGAATCAAACGGTCACAGCAGGAGAAATTGTGGATAGGCTGTGGTTTGCACCTTTGGAGAGAAGCCCAGGTGCAGGAGCTCAGGGATGCCTGACGCACAGCTCAGAGTCTGATTGAGGTCATCCGGCCTGAGGCAAGGAGAGGAGTGGCTTGGGGGTGGGCGGGGCAGGAAGGGTGGCAGAAAGAAGGGAAGTTTGCAATTTTCAAGTCTTGTGAGGTGAAAGGCCTTGGTGAGAGGCTGGTGCCAGAGCTTGGGCAGCAGAAGCCAATGGGGGCCTGAGCACAGGGGAAGTAGGGTGGGGGAACGGATGCAAAGGACAACTTCTGACTCACAAAATGTTACCTGAAGTCACATGGCACCCCTAGAGAAAAAAGGAAAAAAATCCTCAGTTCAGCTTTTCGGGGCCATGTACCGTGCTTGTCTCTCGCAGTAGTCCCGGTTCTCATGGAGACACAGTACACCTGGCACATGCTTGTTGACTGAATTTTTGCACTGCATGGCCTGAGCACCCCCAGGCTGACTCTATTAGTATAACAGCCATGGTGCATCATCAGGAAAGTGGGGTTTTGTGGCAATATAATATTTAATAAAAGTATTTGGGGACTGAAATGCAGTATCACTGTAAACTGTCTACTGTTTCCTGACTGTGACTACAATAGGCTTCTATGGGAAAAGACACTGATGAAATGACCGATTTACAATGAACCTTTTGGATACCACCCACTTTCAGGGAAAGGTGTATTCTAGAAAGGAAAGCATGTATACAGAGGGTGAACTTCACAGAACAGATACATGAGAGGCTGGCTGCAGCCTGGCCACCTCCTTGCCAGGAGACTCTGGGCAAGGCCCTGCTGCTCTACTGTGGTTCTCCCAGCCTCAGGGTCCTGAAGAAGGAAGGTGCTGGCCTAAGGCCTCCTCCGATTCTGACCTCTGGGGTGCTTGTCTCCGGGAGGGGTGCGCCTACATTCTGGGACGCCTGCCAGGATAAGCACATAGACTTTCCACAGCTGCTCCCAGCTTCTAGAGGGTACCCCTACTCTGAAGCAAGTCACGGTCCACCTGTTCACAATTGCTTTTTTCCAAGAGGTTGATTGGAGATGGTGTCAGGGGAAATGCTGAGCAGGAACAAAGCCTTGCTGGAGGCTAGATGATTAAGTCTGATTGCAATTAAGCCATTAAGAGAAAAACTTGAAAAGAGCAACGTGACCTAAAGATTTCCTTGGCCGTAGTACTGTGCTCCTCAGACAGACGGCTCTCACGTTTTCCAAAAACAAAGACTAATACAGGTGAAGGATGCTCCGGTCACTTTCCCTTGGATTCCCAAATTAGATTCCAAGCGAATTCTCCTCCGTATCCCCAGCGGGATACAACTGAGTCTCGAGGACATGCCATTTTAAGAGAAGTTGTAAATCCGACAGTAAACTCTTCTGATCCATCATTTACCCTTTATTTTGGCTTTCTTTTGCCTGGTCCGTCTTGCCCTCTGCAGCTCTTCTGTTGCTGAAATAAATGTACCAGAGAGGTTCCTCTGCATCAGCCTATGGAGTCACTTCTCTCAAGCGAGTAGCAGGGTCACTATTCTCAAAGAAGTTTAAATAATTAGGTCATTCTGTCAAGTGTATCAGAATCCAGACTGGTCTCAACCTGGGTGTTCTTTTAGCCTGATATGAAGAAACCTGGGGCAAGCACCCAGGGGGCGCAGTGGATAGAGCGCCGGCCCTGGAGTCAGAAAGGCTCCTCTTCCCGAGTTCAAATCCAGCCTCAGACATTCACTAGCTGTGTGACCCTGGGCAAGTCACTTCACCAGTAAAATGAGCTGGGGAAGGAAAATGGGCAAAACACTCCATATTTCTGCCAAGAAAACCCTACACTATACAACACCAGAAACCTGGGCAGCAGGACTGGCTGGTAGATGTAAGAGAAGTGCCAACATTCAAAGGTGTAGCCCTATCTAGTGGTTAAATAGCATCTGGATCAGTGAGAGATCTCCTTCAGCTGACACACAATTCCACTGCCTCAGGAAACAGAGGTGGTCAGAAAAGAAGCGTCATTATCATCCCCCATTGCCTCTTCAAAGTTGGATTGGTGTGTGGTCAAAGGACCTGCCTGAGCCCACCCTCAGAGCCTGATAGCTTGGCAGACCCTACTAGAGCAGGCACCTCATCAGTGGAGCCTTCAAGATACCTGAGTCACCCTCCACAGGACATCCATAGCTTGTCAGGAGTGTCACTTGTAACTGATTAGAGAATAAAATGCAAGTCCACAGGGTATGTGTTCCTTAAGGTTGGAGAAGGTTTCATTTTTGTCCCTGTAGCCCAGCACAATGCTGTTCCCACATTAGGTAATTAATAAGTGTTTGTGAAATTTCTGGGGATTTAAACTCGACTTATTTTACCCCATCATATGTATTCCTTGTGTTGGGGTCCCTTTTTGTTTGTTCATTTCTACAACCTCATTTGTAAGATGGTTGTACTCGTTGATGCTCTGAGGTGTGAATGGGCTTGAAGGCACCTACTCTTTCATGCTTCCATCCCTTTCTCTAAACCCCCAGAAGTCAGCTCATCAAGCCCTTATATCCCCAAAGGAATTCTCTATAATTTTGTTGT